AAATTAGTTAAGTAGGCTAGTGTTAATTGCCTATTTACACACGGTGATTTAAATATCTCTGTACACTTATATTAGAAAGGTGAGATACGGCAGAGTACTCACTGCTGTGAAGGATTTAGGTTACTGCAATCTTATGTTAACTATTTTAAATATAACTCAGTTTGTAGAATCGTTAATTAGATTTGATTTCTATTTTGTATGCTAAGTATGGTTGATGACTGATGAAGATTAAACCACCCAAGAAGTGGCACGGGCATGAATAGCCCGTAAGTGGAGGCCCTTTGGAGCCATTACCAGTACCAATAGCTGATACTGGAGATCTGTGGATAAGTATGGTAGCCCATCAAGTACTTAAATAGGGCGCTTAGTGTTAGATCCGTTAACTGATAACCAGTCCCTTAATGTTCATCCAGCTACTGATGGGACCTGGCAGTGAGTTAAACGTAGCTACTCATTAATGTGAGACATGTTACTCCTTCATTCATTTATTATACACCCTATACCCATCCTGTGGAAGGTGATGGAAAGAGTTATATAGGCACATGGTCAATAAGGTTAGCAGACTTCTAGATGTTACCACTGCTAGGCTTAGACTCGGCTACAAGTACTTCTGGGAGTTTGCATCATCTGCTGGTGTAGACCTGAGTAAATGTAAATGCTGTCAGCAGAATTATTCACATACTTTGAGTCAGACATCGGCTCTCCGGATTGTGATGTTCTCCACGGATTTAAGATGCTTGGCTGCGTCTTGGTGCTTATTATCTAGGGCGTTACTCCTGTGGTTGCCTCTCTTTTTATTTGCTTCCGATAAGAGTTCTCCTTGAAGGGACGCAGTGGTGGTGATTTTATTTTGGTCTTGTCATATAAGTTCGTGTCATAAATTATTAATTGTTGGCTCAGTCGGTAGAGCACTCGTCTCTCATGTTGGAGATTGCATGTTCGAGGCTCCCATTGCCCTGGCGAATGATATATATATATATATATATATATATATATATATATATATATATATATATATATATATATATATATATATATAATAATAATGTGTGTGTGTGTTTGCTTAAGAAAAACAACACATGGCGTTTAGTTCTTAATGTAAGAATAGACAACAGTCACTTATTATTAAAGATTATGAATAGTCATATAGTACCTCACTTAGTGATATGGATACGGTGACCCATTTGAACTCTAAAGATAAGGAGCCATGATGAAGCAATATTATAAAACTTTTTACTAACATATTTGAGTTACTTTCTCAGACAAACAATAAACACCACACATTAATAATTTCATTTATATTTTAATTTGTGTACTTTTGACATAGTTATTTACGAATCTGAACCTTGCTCTAACAATGGTTAAATTTATCCACATAAGGAGTCCGGCGACACTTGACACATCCATCTACACAGCTCAAGAGGTCAACAGCCATTCAATATCCGCTCGGAAAGCATAAAAAATATTGCCGGAACAAATGTGTATTTATTCAAGAAACAATTAGACACGTTACTGCAAGAAGTGCAGGACCAGCCGGGTTGTAGTGAAGATATTGGCCTGCAGGCCGCCCCTGCAGGCCAGGGTAATGGCTCCAAAGGGCCTCCACTTACGGGCTATTCATGCCCGTGTCACTTCTTGGGTGGTTTAATCTGCAGGCCGCCCCAAGACTTGGACAACAGAAGCCTCAGAGCCCGCCCTAGATATACTCCAGAAGCGAACGGTAATAATGCTTGCAACATCCACCCGCCCAGATAAGTACGGAAACACTGGCGACATCTCTGATTACTTCGTCGAGTACCGGAAATGTCCCACTTGAACCTTGTATAAGATCAGCTATGTAGGTGGGATGCTGTCAACCTGTCCTGAGGCCAGGCTTGTTAGAGCGGCGGCCGTCCCCTTCCCCCACACGCATTCGTCAATGCTAATATTCTGTGTACTCAAAATTGGTTTATTTTTATATTTAAGTAAATATTATTATATATTAAATTTCTATGTAAAGTTAGGCATAGGTTAGGTTAGGTGTTTAGCTTCTGTTGGCGATTATTTGTATTTGTAGTACGTGGGTGATGCATTTACAGCGTTGTGGTTCGAACAAAATTCGTCAGTGAAGCATTTGTTCCGGAAGTGTTCGAACGAAATCAGTTGTGAGTCGTGTGTAAACAGTTTTTCATTCATAAACAGGGGGTTTGGCGGGTGCATAGAATCACGTTTGGGGGTCTTTGTTTGGAGGACAGGCTGTTTTATGCACACGCTAAACCCCCTGTTTATGAATGAAAAACGGTTTACACACGACTCACAACTGATTTCGTTCGAACATTCCGGAACAAATGCTTCACTGACGAATTTTGTTCGAATCACAACGCTGTAAATGCTTCACCCCACGTACCACAAATACAAATAATCGCCAACAGAAGCTAAACACCTAACCTAACCTATGCTTATATATGCACAATATGCTAATATATAATAATATTAATTTATATGTCAGAAAATTCCCGTTTTGAATGAACAGCATGTACAAATTTATGAATGCGTCTGTGGGGGTCGACCGCCGCCTGAACGAACCTAACATAACGACAGGTTACAATAGTATCAAAAAGAACCTAAACACCTAACCTAATCTACGGCTAAATATTCACAATATGACATTATATAATAATATTAATTTACATTTGAGACACTTCATATTTTGAAATGAACAACATGTTAAAATTGATGAATGCTTTTTGGTGGGTCGGCCGCTGAATGGAATGAATATTGCTCGAGGACACGTTGTAAACACAATGTTTAACGGTTGTATTAACGAAAATTTGACTTTTTTTATGATGGGCTGTATTATCACACACCCAACTCCAAGTCCAACGACTAGAAGGCTTTCTGCTGAGTCCACTATTAGTTCTTGCCTCTCTCTTCTGAGCATAATGTGTGGAAGGTGAGTGCATATATGGCTTACCACCTTCCTCATTCTATACATTGACGATCACTGTACCATTCTTCATGTTCAGCATAGAACATCACTGCCAAACTACCTGTGCTCGTGGCTACCTCCGCTCTCCCCACCGGTGTTCCTGCAGGTGTCACCACTGTTGCGACACGGATGGTTCTTACCATAAAAGAGCAGCTCTTATGAATAATTTACTACCTGTCTTCAAGTTGAGCTACTCTTAGCACTCAAACTTGCGTGCACATATTGTAACGCATATTTACTTGTACATATTTGGATGATAAGTATCAAAGAATTTAGTGTTTTTTATACTTAATATAGTCAACTGTTACAGCAGTTGGTTGTTGGCAATGTAGTCTCGTGCCGAAGTAGATGAGATGAGGCTCGGAGCAGGGAGCTTCAGTGAGGCCGGAGGCAGAGAGCTCGGGTGCGAGGTGAGAGCATGGAGCTCGAATGTGGGCGGGATAGGAGAGCTCGAATGCGGGACGAGAGCGTGGAAACTTGATACGGCCTGAATCTGTCTGTCTGCTGTGTGACGAGGCTATAGCGTCTTGAGAATAGAGGAACTAGACTCGACAAGTGTTACATTGTGCTATTGGAGTTACACTGACTACGATCTTGTTGCTGTTGTTTTAGATTCAGCTACTCGGAACAAAAAAGTAGCACGGGCTATCGTGAGCCCGTAGTGGACTTACCTGGCACAGGAGCGGGGCTGTAACTGGACTACGATCTATTGATTGATGAAGACTAAGCCACCCAAGAGGGATTACGATCTGCTGTCAACGGCTTATGTTACAAGCTTCTCACCTTGCCAAACTGACCAACATCTAGCAGGGGGGAAGATATTAATTGTGATTAGTTTACACTTAGGAAGATATTAATTGTAATTAGTGGACTAGGATTAATGTAGAACTTCTTGGAATGTGGAACTTTTAGAGAGAGGTTATGAAGAATTAATAGAAACACTTAATTATCTGCACTTAAGCTAATGAGAGTTTGAAGCAAGTATATTACGACTTAATAAAGTTGCTACAATATTATCACCATAAGATCACACCTAGATCAAGACAGAACTTCATCCACACACCCCATCTACTGCCCTTATCGACATCAAATGTGTAATACCTCAATTCACTTCATTATATACGGTGTATATATTGTAATCCCAGATACTATGAGTACCCCCCGCTCCTGTGCCAGGTAAGTTACGGGCTCACCATAGCCCGTGCTACTTGGAACTTGTTCCGAGTAGCTGAATTTATAACATCAACAACAACAATACAATGAGTAACTGTTGAGCTTCTGTGAAAGACTTTCTTCGGCCGCACACACATCAGTCCAAATAAAATTTTAAAATGAAAATTGAAAAAAGTTAATTTTTTCAACACTTTCTTCCCAAGTAAGGAACATAACAACTCCAGAAAAGATTCGCGCTAGAATAATTGATCTGGCCCTATCGGTTATATTCAATAACTCATGCCTACAAGAAAGACTGTTTCCAAGGTATTATTGTAACTAGCAGCTTGTGTGCCCCCAAGTGTAACAATAGGAGGACTCACATGTTGTTGCCCTGTAAAAAAGTGCAACTGACTGGCGAGCAATCTGCTGCTCGAATGCTCACCTAAAGTCCTGAAGAAAGACGTGTGTGTTGCCCTCTACACCTGCTGCTAATATTCAGGCAGCAGCCTGAACTAGGGAAGTGGCAGCTTTACGAACACTTGATGCTTATGCGGCCCTAGCATGTTAATGAAATATCGGTGCCAAATAATGCCATATTATATATATACACACACACAAAGGGGACAGACGGTATATATACCGGGAAAGATATTAAACACATTACCGAGTAATCTTTCATACCTTATCAGCATCTTATATACGAGAGACCGATAAGAGACGTCTTCGTGGCGACTCTAGCTCTTAAGGTTTCGTTCGTGTTTACAAGTTTGGCCGCACTAGCCTGTCGTGCTCTAGCCTCTGGCCCCTGGCATAAAACACAACTGATCAGGAAACCTTTGTTCCGGTAAAACATTCTAAATATTTGTACTAATTGGTAGTAGTGTGAAAAATATATCAGAGTACAGAAATCACGAGTGAATTGTTCTGAATCCAGGTGAAGGGGAAGAGGTGTAAGATAAGGTGTAAAGGGAGCGAGTGAGTCCATCAGTGGCTCGGTCACAAGACCTCTGCTCGCCCAGTCCACCAACAACCCTCTTTACTGCACTTCCTCATACTTTACTGTGCGTGTGTGTGACATTAACAAACACAAGTGCTTTTTTAAGTTTTATTTTGGATAATGAACAACTAACAACTTTTTGGTGTTTGATTTAATGAAATAATCCGAGTAGCATATTTTTATGATTTTGTCCTGGAAATGTTAACGATTAGGTGTTACAATTACTGCAACAAAGAATTCGGAACGAATCTGCTTGGACGATCATCTAACACAAGACGCAATAAACTTGAATAAATTCGAAGTTTGGTATAAACTTGAATAAATTCGAAGTTTGGTATAAACTTGAATAAATACGAAGTTTATTTTGAAAACAATAATGTGTTACAAGTGGGCGATCTTGATATATATTACATAAGCAATATCAAGAGCATTCCATATGTATTGCAAATTGCAGTTTGCCTGATGGTGGTAGCAGCAATGTTATCGAGTATGGGAAGTGCGGCGGGCGTCCACAACGATGCCGTCACAGGAACTGACATCAACAACTTGAAAATGATCTGTGATCCTAACTGCTGCACATCCAGTAACAACGTGACTATTTGTTTTATTAACTACAATTTTACAGACAGAGTAAACATAACGAAACTGGCGAGTTGGGATCTGGGAGTGAGATGGACGTACGCCATCCTGGTGATGCTGGTGGCCCTCTTGGGCAACCTCTCCGTCATCATCATCCTGCTCAAGAACCGTCTGCTGCTTCGCACCTCCGTCAACCACTTCATCCTCAACATGTCGGTGGCCGACCTCCTCCTGGCCCTCGCTGGGCCCATACCCTTCACCATCCGAGATACCAGCTACTTCTGGGTGCTGGGTGAAGTCTGGTGTCATCTTGAAGGTTACATACTCAGTAAGTAAACTGGATGGTGTTTGGAAGGTCAAATAGCAAGTTATTCATGTTTTTATATCCGTGAATGCTTATATCATTGTAAGGTTGCTTGTGTATTCTATGTCTGGGAAATTCTTCAGTGGGCTATCTTGAGATAATTTCGGGGTTTAGCGTCCCCGCGGCCCAGTCCTCGACCAGGCTTCCTTTTTGTTACACATCCCCAGGAAGCAGCCCGTAGCAGCTGTCTAACTCCCAGGTACCTATTTACTGCTAGGTGAACAGTGATATCAGGGTGAAAGAAACTCTGCCCATTTGTTTCTGCCTCCACCGGGGATCGAATCCGGTACCTCAGGACTACGAATCCGAAGCGCTGTCCACTCAGCTGTTTGGCCCCTTTTAGGCACAGCAATCGTAATTTTTTTTCAATATAATTATGCACCCAACCCACAAATCTGAAAATAAAAGACGTAACGATGTTCCTATATTTTCAGATGAGTGGGTTGGGTGTCTGATTTTCAGCCACGTTATTGCGACTAGTCTTCAGTATAAGTCTTATATAAATGGACTTCTTTAGGAAACATATTTCAGCAACTCCAGCTGTAACAATGTATTAAAACACGATATTCGTAAATGCAGCGTCTCCATCCTGGCTGTCCCTCTCTTTCTCTTACGTTTGCATTTAGGTAGACAGAAAGCAGTCAGTGGATTACTTTCCCAGTCATCTTTACAAACAGGAAACCTTGCAGAAATACGTAAATGGACAAATATATTCCCAATTCATAAAAAAAGGTGACAGAAGGCTCACTAAACTATAAACAATTGTCATTAGTGACAAATGTGGTAGCCAAATCAATGAAACAAAGGATATATAAACTAAAAGGATAAAACATCATGGAAAAAAAAGGACAACGTGTGGGCAGTTTGGCTTTCTGCAAGACCATACAACAATTGTTATGACTGAGCAACAAATATCATGTAGAAAAGATACTGTTGATCGAGCTGCAGCTATCTGAACAGACAATAAGTTACTGGGAAGAACACCTAGTGGACTGCCATGTCCTTCAAAATGAAATAGTAAAAAAAAGAAGTGCATTTAACAAGACGCATGAAATTTCCTTATGATCAAATGATATATGAATCCAGGACCCAAGCGTTATATGACAGTGCTGGGAAGACGGGACACCACGAGCGTAGCTCTCATCCTGTAACAACACTTAGGTAATTACACACATATCCACCTAACGGACAGGTGTCAGTGAGAGTGAGGGGCGAGGAGTCGGACTGGCGTTGGTGTCTCAAGGATCGGTGCTGGGTTCCTCATTAATATAAAAACGACTTGACTAGGAGTTGAGTCTTATATGCCAATGATTGCAGATAACGCAAAACTAGTGAGGATTGAGACAGATGAGGATTGTAAGATTCTCCAGGATGACTTGAACAGGTTGCAGAGCTGGTCCTAGAAATGGCTGCTAGAGTTCAACACAAGCTGTGAGGTGATGGAAATGGGATCAGGAGCCAGGAGACCGAAAGGCCGATACGTGATGAAGGGAAACTACTTCCCTATAACGACTAGAAAAAAAAGGATCTGGGAGTGAACATAACACCAAACCTAACTCCAGAGGCTCATATAAATAGAATAACGTCAGCCGCATACTCTATGCTGGTAAAAGTCAAAACATCCTTCAGAAACTGGAATAAGGAAACTTTTAGATCACTATATACCGCCTATGTGAGGTCAGTCTTAGAGTATGTCGCCTTATATCTTGGAGCCCCAATCTAAAAAAACATAAAGAAGCTCGGAAAAGTGCAGAAGTTTGCAACGAGACTCGTCCCAGAGTTGCGAGAGATGAAGTACGAAGAGAGACTGAAGGAACTAAACCTGACGACATTAGAGAGCAGGAGGGACTGGGGGGACATGATGCAGACGTATAAAATACCTAGAGGGATTGACAGAGTGGAAACAGGAATTGTTTACAATGAAAATCAACAGAGACAGGGGGGGCACGGATGGAAGCTTAAGACTTAGATGTGTCATAGGGATGTTAGAAAGTTTTCCTTTAGCGTAAGGGGACGCAAGTGGAATGACGTAAAGGAGCAGGTTGTAAAGGCAAACTCCATTCATAACTTTAAAAGCAGGTATGATATGGAAAAAGGTCTAGACAACCAACAGCTAGAAAAGCGGGATCCATGAGCTAGAACTCAATCCTGCAGTCACAAACAAGTGAGTACACACACACACAAAGATGGACAGAAAGACATTTTTTTAGTTTAGTTCATTTATTATGCACCCCATACTCATCTTGTGAGTGTGAGTGGAAAAAGGTTGCTGGAGCTGAACCCCAAAATTCAGAGAGATATTAAAAAGAAAGAGAAATAACGGGAGAGATGGATATCGCTTTACATATAAAAACACATTTTTTATCATAGTGTTTTTCCATTCAAAAATATACCTTCAATCAAAAAAATATATGTAGTCATAAAACACAGCATCATTCTACAGAATCCGGGAAAATCCACCGTTGCAACCCCAATGACCTGAATAGAAATTACGACCTGCTTTATCTCACTCCTCCCTAATCTGCTTTACCTCACACATCCCTAACAGCATCTTTCTCATTTTTACCCTTTATAAGCACCGTCCTTCGATATCTGATAGAAATTACTGCGGTCAGACTTATCTACAAATAGTGTCTACTCTCGTTTTGGTGTTTCTGGACATCGTTGGCGGCAATGTTTTTTTCTTTTAGTTTAATTATTTAGATTTGTCTATAGGGAGCTGGCGCATTGAAGAGTAGGTGTGTACAATAGGCCTAGTGACAATTACCCAGCCCTATCCTGTCCTCATAATCCTTCTCCCATCTTGTCTTCATATCCACACTATCTTGATTAGTCCCCATATCTCCGTCCCTATCGTCTCATAGGACAGCCCCGCTCCTGTGCCAGGTAAGTCCACTACGGGCTCACCACAGCCCGTCCTACTTGGAACTTTTTGTTCCAAGTAGCGAATCTTAAACAACAACGACTCCTCATATCCCTGCCATGTACTATACAATCTTGAAGCTTTCCAAACCATACATGGACCGAGGATGGTGATGGGTAACCCTTGTGCCGGCAGTGTTGGTGATGATGGCGAGCGTCACCTCCCTGGCCATCATCAGCTTCGACCGTATGGTGGGGGTGGTGTCGCCCTTCCACCAGCACCTGAAGCGTCGCCACGCCGTCGCCATCATCGCCTCCGTCTGGCTCCTGGCTGGCCTTCTCGCTCTGCCCTTCGGCTTCTACAGGGTGTACTCGGTAAGGTCTTCTGGGCTCTCTCTACACCAATTCAAATTGAGCGCTTTCATCTTCAAATAACTTGTGTATTAACGCTTGATTAACAGAGATAAGAAAATGTGTAGCATCGGTCATAGCATTAAATATAATGCTATACATAGCTTTAAACATAACATTGAACATGACATTAAATATAGCATTATACAGTATTAAACAGCATTAAACATAGCATTATACAGTATTAAACAGCATTAAACATAGCATTATAGAGTATTAAACAGCATTAAACATAGCATTACACATAGCACTAAACATAGCATTATACATAGCACTAAACATAGCATTGATCATGGCATTTAACATAATGGCATGTTAAATGGACTGAACATGGCATTAAAAATAGCATTAAACTATATAAAACAGAAGATTAAACTTAGTATTAAACATAGCATTTAACATAACATTAAACAGTACAGAACAAAGCATTAAACATATTAAGCATAGCAATAAACATAGTTTTAAACATATTACGTTAAGTCAATACATAATAAAGTAATATTATTTCTTTGGTACGAATTGCAACTTTTATTAAAACTTGTCAACATGAAACTAAATTTATAATTATTTTATCTATATAAAAGACATGTTTTAAAGCTTGAGGCGGCATTTAATTGTTGTAAGGAAGCTGACAGTCTGTATCATAGCTACTACACAAAGCCAGTTAAGTGGCTTAGGATAAATTGTTCACCCTTTCAAACACAGGTAAACAAATTTGCGTTAATTAGGATAAACTGTTCAACATTTCAAACACAGGTAAACAAACCCCAGCAGCTTGTGTGAGGGACTTCAAGCTGCTGAAACAGCGTGAGGGTTTCCTACTTATTTATGAGACAAATTCATGTGCTTACATTATAACGCTTTGTCATCCTGTATCCAAAGCCTACAGTAGCCTACGCCTTCATGCATCCAGGGTGTGCAGTAGGTCTTTGCCATCTTGAATCCAGAGCAAACTTTATGCATACGTCATCCTGTATCCAGACCATGTATTAGGCCAATGGCATCCAGAGAGAACAGACCTAATGGTCTAAGTTATTACACTGTAACATTACATCCAGAGCTCGCAGTAGGTCTACTCAATGAACCCATTTCGCACATACTCTACGAAGCTAACATCAACTCATTTTTAACTCCACACACACAGGAGCGTGTGTGGAAGGACCTGACGGAGAGGATATGTGGTGAGGAAGATGACAAGATAAGGATATGGTGGAAAGTAAGCATCCTCGGCCTCAACTGGTTCCCCCTTGGTGTGATGGTCATCTCCTACACCACCATATTTTTCTACTTCAAACAAGTTAAATTCAAGGGGACGATTAGCCGAAGAGGTGGGTGTAATACACTGGATCTAATGTATACAGAGTGACTGCTGGGGGTGTGTGTGTGTGTGTGAATATACCTGATCAACCAGGCTGTGACTCATACGTCAGGCTGCGAGCAGCCGCGTCCAACAGCCTGGTTGACCAGTCCAGCAACCAGGAGGCCTGGTCGACGACCGGGCCGCGGGGACGCTAAGCCCCGGAAGCACCTCAAGGTAACCTCAAGATAAGGTGTGTGGTCAGTGACAGCTGGTGAGTGTACCAAATGCTATTCCTTAAGTATTCCGTATTAGGGGTATCATTATAGTGTTGTGTCGTTTTAATTTTGTTTATTAATCGTATATTTTCTAAGCCAGTTACATTTGTTTCAAGACAAGACACCCATCCCTCTGGTGGTGGTGGTGGGAGGGCAGCAGAAGCACCCAGAACCCATCCCGCGGACGGAAGGGTTAGATACACAACTGGTTCGGGAACTCAACCCCAATATTTTGAAGCAAAGCCATTTACATTTATATTGACCTAGTTACATTCAACTGAGCAACTTTCCGGCAAGAAATAAACAATCAACTGGATATATATTCTGGTATGGAGGGGGGAGGGAACCCTATATATTCTAAGCAGTTGCAACTCTTATTGGGTGTGGCCATCTCATTATCTCTCTCTCTCTCCTGTCATTCTGTTATTTCTTAACCTATCATCGAGTAAGTTCACAATACAGTACGTATGAACTTACCTTCAGAGCATCCTGCCATGGTGCACCTCAAGCAGCGGGTGGTGAGGATGATGTTCGCGATGGTGCTGGTATTCACCGTCTGCTGGTTGCCCTTCCAGATCCTCAAGTTAGCCCAGAGGAGCTTTATCGACGACACCGGTCACTACGTCAGCACCAGTGCTGAGAAGGTGAGTTCTGCACACACCAACAGCACGTAAGACGGAGTCTGTGGAAGTTAAGCAATAATGAAGGAAAAATAATGTGGCATAGCAGTATGGTTAACTAGAGCAATATAGGGCACGTGTTTAAAAGCTTTCAAAGTCACTCAGGAGGCCTATATAATGTAGATTTGTTTTTTAAGTATAATGTTTGGAGTGTGATCTTCCCAGTAGACCTACAAGACCCTGTTGACAGTGTCGCAGTACATGATCTACTGCAATCCCGCTCTCAACCCCATCGTCTATGCCCTCATGCACCAGACCTTCAGGAGGGCCTTCAGGGTCACCTTCCCCTGCTTCTATAACCGCAAGGTGAGCAACTATCACAGATATTTGTTTACATTCACCTCATGTAAAGTGAATCATTAGTTAATTATTTTAAGAACATAATGAAACAAAGTAACAATTTCTAGTTGTATTGTGGGCTGATCTTCGATATATTGAAATGTCTATTTTTAGTATATATTTTAACGTATTTGACCAAAATTTTTAAGACATGAACTCTAATGGGTGCAAAATGTAAGGTTTGATCATCATAAAGTATATCTTCTCCAGCTTTGCAAATTACTCCTATCAGTTCAGTGGCTTAAACACAGAATTACAAGAAACAGATGATAAACACTCTAGTGGTATGTGAGTTCATTGCTGATGGTTGCTGAGGTTTGCTTCCTTGTGTAATAGTCGCCATACATAATTCCGTGAATGCTATATTCCATTACTTTCACTTGGGCTTGTTAGTAAATCGGCGGCCTCACTCCTTGTTGGGTCGGCGTTCGATACCCGAGAATCCAAGAAGTTGTGATGACAAACCACACGTCAGAAAATGGAAAAAAACGACGACGTTGCGGTCCGTCCTGGACCATTATCTAGTCGTGTGAACTTGTTTGGTCCAGGATAGGGCCCAACGTTGTCGTTTCTATTATGTCGGAAGTGTGTCTTGCTCATCATATCTTCAGCCACTTTATTCTGACTCATTGTCTGCATATCCAAGAAGGTTAGCACCGTACCTTCATTCGTTCCTTATATCCCAAATCTGTGTCTGTGTATCCCAGCTCCTTGTCCTCATACCCCAACTCTGTTACTGGCTTAGATCTTTCTTCTCATTACTGTTGTACTTAACACTCATTTCTTAACGAAAACAATTGCGTGACTCGTCCAAGTTAATAGCATTGTTATATTTGGTTATTGCAGTCGTCCCTGGTGCTGACCCCGGGCGTGGGGATACAGAGGTACGTGTGGTCTGTCAAGTCCACCGTGTCTGATGTCTACGGCAAGGACGTCGTCACCACGCCTCCGTGAGTTCCTAGTTTATTACTAGATATGTTCTTGTTTGGGTTCACACTAATGGTGTGTGTGTTTTGGAGGGGAGGGTTGTTTGTGTGTGTGTGTGTGTGTGTGTGTGTGTGTGTGTGTGTGTGTGTGTGTGTGTGTGTGTGTGTGTGTGTGTGTGTGTGTGTGTGTGTGTGTGTACATTCTGATATCTATTTTAACACTTTTTAATCTTTTGTTCTCAGACGCAACTTGAGAGACCGAATTCGCGGCAGAAACCAGCTCACACCTTCGGCTGTACTGTCAACATCGGCTCTGGCTGCCTCGATTGCCTTGGACTCCAAGTCGACGCAGCAAAGAGAACGGAGCTCTTCTGAGCGACGTGGAGATGGTGCCCTGAGCCGCACAGTGGCCGGCCACCCGGAGCTCTCCTTCAACGCCAGCGAAGGTTACGTCAACGACCTGCAACACAGGAGGATGTCGTTCATCAGTACTGGCGCGCTGGGACACCTCATCACTCAAGTTATCGAAGAAGAAACCTCAAGCGACTTAGAAAACGAGCGCGTGTTATAACGACACTTATGAAGAGAATGGTTTCTCGGTGTATATACAGAATCCACGAAGAATGTTTGCTGATTGGTTTAGGGTCGCAAATGTTATTAACACTCCCAAGGATGATAGGCCTGTAGCTCAAAGTGAAACAACAATTACAACACGTTGTATTAACAATTAGATTTGTAGGCCAATGCAGAAATATATTTTGCGCTGACAAAATAGCAACAAATAACTAATGAATGATTATTATATAGGAAAAGTTTTATATCTTCTTGTGAACAGCAAAATTGGTGTTGAATGTACAAATTATTGAACGTATAGGTATTTTAGGAATGTGCAATTAACGGTACAAGTCAGTTGTATCGTTGGAGTCAGCTGTAATGTAGGAGTCAGCTGTGTCAGTGGAGTCAGCTGTGTCGTTGAAGTAACCAGTATCGTTGAGTCAGCTACATTGTTGGAGTCAACTGAATCGCAGGAGTCAGGTGTGTCGTCGGAGTCAGGTGTCTGGAATACAAAACCAACAGAGCTAGGACGACTGCCTGTTGCAGAATTTTGGTCAAACTAAAACAATTTTTTTCTGCTCGGGAGATGCTGGAGATTTTGTGGACATTTCTCAAGGGTATAACGCAGTCTAGATCACAGACGAAGAAATATCTATATCTATTAAATATAATGTCTGTCCGTTCAAGATTGAAGACCAACCGGTTGGCGTTAGCTTCACCCAACTTTGCAGAGTGACTAGGGATTGTGTGTGACCAGGACGGGTCTTACTGGCCCATGCTGGTCACACACCGATTTCCGCCTCCGCCGGAAATCGAACCCAAGCCATTAGGACTTCGACCCGCAAGCGCTATCCACTCAGCCACGAGACACCTTCTGTGTGTGTACTCACCTATTTGTGCCTGCAGAATCGAGCACTGACTCTTGGATCCCGCCTTTCTAGCTATCGGTTGTTTACAGCAATGACTCCTGTCCCATTTCCCTATCATATCTAGTTTTAAAATTATGAATAGAGTTTGCTTCCACAACCTGCTCCTTAAGTGCATTCCATTTTTCCACTACTCTCACGCTAAAAGAAAACTTCCTAACATATCTGTGACTCATCTGAGTTTCCAGCTTCGTTCCCTCGTTCTGTTAATATTACGTGTGAACATTTCATCTATTTCCACTTTGTCAATTCCCCTCAGTATTTTATACGTTCCTATCATATCTCCTCTCTTCCTTTTTTTTCTAGTGTCGTAAGGTTCAGTTTCTTCAGGCGCTCTTCATATCCCATTCCTCATTACTCTGGGACGAGCCTCGTCGCAAACTTCTTAACCTTTTCCAGTTTCCTTATGTGTTTCTTCAGGTGGGGACTCCATGATGGGAAGGCATACTCTAAGGCTGGTCTCACGTAGGCAGTGTAAAGCGCCCTAAAAGCCTCCTCACTTAGATTTCTGAATGATGTTCGAACTTTTGCCAGTGTAGAGTATGATGCTGTCGATATGCTATTTACATGTGCCTCAGGAGTTAGATTAGGTGTTACGTCCACTCCCAGGTCACTTTCTCGAAACGTCACAGGTAGGCAGTTCCCCTTCATTGTGTACTGTCCCTTTGGTCTCCTATCACCTGATCCCATTTCCATAACTTTACATTTGTTCGTGTTGAACCCTAGTAGCTAATTCTCTGACCATCTCCGCAACCTGTTCAAGTCCTCTTGGAGGATCCTACAATCCTCATCTGTTACAACTCTTCTCATTAATTTTGCGTCATCCGCGAACATCGACATGTAGGATTCTACTCCTGTAAACATGTCATTAACGTAAATTAGAAATAGAATTGGTCCCAGCACCGATCCTTGAAGTACTCCACTCGTTACTGTTCGCCAGTCCGACTTCTCGCTCTTTACCGTCACTCTCTGGCTCCTTCCTGTAAGGTAGCTCCTTGCCCATGCTAGGACCTTTCCGCTTACTCCTGCCTGCCTCTCAAGTTTGAATAGCAGTCTCATGTGCGGTACTGTATCAAATGCCTTTATTCACCTAGTTGTGCTTGCGGGGGTTGAGCTTTGCTCTTTCGGCCTGCCTCTCAACTGTCAATCAACTGTTTACTAACTAATTTTTTGTGTTTGTTTTTGTTGTTTTTTCACACACACACACAGAAAGCAGCTCCGTAACAGCTGTCTAACTCCCAGGTACCTATTTTACTGCTAGGTACCAGGAGCATTCAGGGTGAAAGAAACTTTGCCCATTTGTTTCTGCCTGGTCCGGGAATCAAACCCGGGCCATTTTTTTTTAATGTTTACGAGTTCAGAATTACTAGTCCTGTGCGCTGTCCACTCAGCTACCGGACCCCGCGCGCGCGTGCGTGTACTCACCTAGTTGTGTCTGCAGGATCGAGCATTGACTCTTAGATCCCGCCTTTCGAGCATCGTTTGTTTACAGCAATGACCGGTCCTATTTCCCTATCATACCTAGTTTTAAAATTCTAAATAGTATTTGCTTCCACAACCTGTTCCTTAAGTGCATTCCATTTTTCCACTGTATGTGTGTGTGTGTGTGTGTGTGTGTGTGTGTGTGTGTGTGTGTGTGTGTGTGTGTGTGTGTGTGTGTGTGTATGAAATTCCAGGTCTCAGGAAGTCTTCCCTGTCGATTTTATCAATTCCTGTTACTATTTTGTATGTAGTGATCATATCACCTCTTTTTCTTCTGTCTTCTAGTTTTGGCATATTTAATGCTTCTAACCTCTCCTCGTAGCTCTTGCCCTTCAGTTCTGGGAGCCACTTAGTAGCATGTCTTTGCACCTTTTCCAGTTTGTTGATGTGCTTCTTAAGATATGGGCACCACACAACAGCTGCATATTCTAGCTTTGGCCTAACAAAAGTCATGAACAATTTCTTTAGTATATCGCCATCCATGTATTTAAATGCAATTCTGAAGTTAGAAAGCATAGCATAGGCTCCTTGCACAATATTCTTTATGTGGTCCTCAGGTGATAGTTTTCTATCTAGAACCACTCCTAGATCTCTTTCTTTATCAGAATTCTTTAAAGATTTCTCACATAATATATAGGTTGTGTGGGGTCTATGTTCTCCTATTCCACATTCCATAACATGACATTTATCAACATTAAATTCCATTTGCCAAGTGGTGCTCCATATACTTATTTTGTCCAGGTCTTCTTGAAGGGCATGACAGTCATCTAAATTCCTAAAGGAAGAATTGTAAACTCGTTTGGGCTCGAGCTGACGACCGTCCGGCCACCGGCGGCAGAGCCCACTCTGAGGCCGTGACTCTTACACGAATCACGTGGCCGTGATTCGTGTGTGTGTGTGTGTGTGTGTGTGTGTGTGTGTGTGTGTGTGTGTGTGTGTGTGTGTGTGTGTGTGTGTGTGTGTGTAAATCACGAAGAAATTAGCTCGTCAAATGGACAAGGTAATCTATAAGAACAATGAACAATGAATTACCTGTATCTTCTGTTATTGTTGTCAATATCAGAAGCTTGTAAAGATATGCATAAAATATTGTTTATTTACTTTGAAAAAAATAATGAGTGTTATCTACTGACATTTGGAATGGCAATGGGAAAATCTAATTTCTACATGGTTTTCAGATTTGTACATGGATTTTTTTTTTTTTAAGAATTTTGTAAAATTATCACTGGAATTATTCCATGGTTTAAATACATTTATGACATTTAGTATATTTTGCCATCCTCTGTGTTGCATTGTACTGTATATACTTTTGAAGACATGTTGAATTACACGAAACCGTTTAAGTATTTTCTTGTTTCATTTTCCTTCGTGGTCATACGTATATATATATATATATATATATATATATATATATATATATATATATATATATATATATATATATATATATATATATATGTCGTACCTAGTAGCCAGAACTCACTTCTCAGCCTACTATTCAAGGCCCGATTTGCCTAATAAGCCAAGTTTTCCTGAATTAATGTATTTACTATAATTTTTTTCTTATGAAATGCTAAAGCTACCCTTTTCACTATGTATGAGGTCATTTTTTTTTTTTGAGTTAAAATTAACGTAGATATATGACCGAACCTAACCAACCCTACCTAACCTAACCTAACCTATACATATAGGTAAGGTTAGGTTAGGTAGCCAAAAAAAGCTAGGTTAGGTTAGGTTAGGTAGGTTAGGTAGACGAAAAAACATTAATTCATGAAAACTTGGCTTATTACGCAAATCGGGCCTTGCATAGTAGGCTGAGAAGTGAGTTCTGGCTACTAGGTACGACATATATATATATATATATATATATATCTATATATATATATATATATATATATATATATTCAGTTGCATATGTCCTGGGGACCATTCAGGCTTGTTCGCATATATATATATATATATATATATATATATATATATATATATATATATATATATATATATATATATATATATATATATATATATATATATGTGTGTGTGTGTGTGTGTGTGTGTGTGTGAGAAAGCTGCAGGAACACGCAAGCCATAGATCACTAAGAACTTTAATTGACCCGGCCAGGATTCGAACCCTGGCCGGGTTCTTTTCTTATTCTTATAATATATTGTTAGTTTTAACTTTTGGTCGACGTCAGTTGACTGATGTCAACCAGAAGATAAAATTGATAAATTGATTCTGAGATACTGGGGAAGACAGGAGACGATTGTCAATCCCTTAAAATTGATCTAGATAAAATAGGTGCTTGGAGCACCCTCTGGCAAATGGAGTTCAATGTGAATGAATGCCAGGTTATAGAATGTGGAATCGGTAAAAACAGACCCCCACACACTTTCAACTTATGTGGAAAGGAATTAAAGCACTCAAAAGACGAGATCTAGGGATGGTTTTGGATAGTAGAAAAAGTCACCATAGGAACACGAAGAATATTATGAGAGGAGCGTATGCGTCGCTTTCCAACTTTAGACTTGCTATTAATTATATGGATGGTGAAATACTAAAGAAACTGTTCATGACTTTTTTGAGACAAAAACTGGAATATGCAGCAGTTATATTCATATCTCAAGAAGCACATTAATAAACTGGAAAAGGTGCAAAAGCATGCTACAAAATGGCTTCCGGAACTGAGAAACAAGAGTTACGAGTAAAGGCTAGAGGCGTTAAATATACAAAAGCTATAAAATAGAAGAATAAGTGGTGATATGATCACCCCTTACAAAATATTAACAGGAATCGAGCATATTGACAAAGAGAAATTCCCGAAACCAGCAACATCACGAACAAAAGGGCACAAATTCAAGCTAAGGAAACAAAGGTGCCGAAGAAATATTAGAACGTTTTCCTTTGCAAACAGAGTGGTAGACGGTTGGAACAAGCTAAGTGAGAAGGTGGTGGAGGCCAAAACCGTCAGAAGTTTCAAAGCGTTATATGACAAAGAGTACCGGGAAGACGGGACACAACGAGAAATTGAATTGTTGCCGCCGAAGGCGGCTAGTCCCGTGAGCAGTAGCGCAAAAAGCATTACAGAGAGCACAAAAGGTCTTTATCAGACCTCAACGTAAATTATTACATAAACAATTTCATCTATCCTTCACACCTTATAATCACAATGTCAGCTAGCTACAGAGAATGTTCTATTTCAAGAGCTAATACATAATTGTTTGAGCAATGGAGATATTACAGAGTCATATGGGAGATGCTGTTTATTATTAGTCTTCACAATACAAGCGAAATATGGATACAGTGCAAGGATTTCAAGTATTTTATCCTTGGTAATAAGATAGGTTGCCATATCATACAACGTGAGCTTAGATTTATCTCTAAATGGCTCCATTTTAGTACAATCCAAGATATAGTGTTCGAGTTTGTGTGTGTGACCCCTGTCTTTGTCCACACACTTTACACTTTACTTCATCTAGATCCCTATACAAGCCGAACTGCCAGAGATACTTGTAGCCAAGTCTTATTCGAGCTGTGACAACATCTGTTAGTCTGCTGACTTTGTTTCTTGCCCCCATACACATGTTTTACTTCACAAATTTTATTGTGATAAAACAATGTTGTGGATTCCTTCTCACATTGGCCTGCAGGACACAGCAAGCGTAGCTTTCATCCTGTAACTACACTTAGGTAATTACAAGTGGGTCAATACACACACACACACACACACACACACACACACACACACACACACACACACACACACACACACACACACACACTTACTCTTGACCTGTGACCTTGGGCAGAGAACAATTAACTGATAATAAGCTACTATCTTCATCCTCGTGAACAGCGGCTCCACCAGCAAGGGAAAACAAAGGCTAGATCTGTCAGCATCAATATAAACACTACAAACACACCAATCTATGTTGCAGTCTAAAATTGCAGAACAAACTGCAAACAAAAATAAACAAAACTTAAGACCTTTTCCCATAAAGTGAGTAATAAGTAAATGCAAAAGTACATACAGTTCTTTTGTATTATATTATCTCACTTTTCTAGTACAGCTTTTTAAATTATAAACAAAAATATTTCAATATTTCTGTGAATTTTTGTTTCTATAAAATTTTCGTATGAAAATATCATTGCAAGGAGGAGTCCTACTGAATATACTGAAAGGTGTTTAGCAGTAGCCTATCTTGAGTCTAACGCCTAGTTTAAAGTCTAGAGTCCAAAATCTTGAATTTAAAGTTTAAACAAAGAACTTATTTGCATGATATATATATTTTTCGGTCCCTTCAACGCATATCAACTTGACCGACCGATCCAAGGTAAGACATACCAACTTGACCGACTGATCCGAGATAAGACATACCAACTTGACCGAGTGATCCGGCGTAGGACGTACCAACTTGACCGAGTGATCCGGCGTAAGACGTACCAACTTGACCAAGTGATCCGGCGGTAACACGTACCAATTTGACCGAGTGTTCCGAGGCATGGTAAGCTATCCCACAAAACAGCGCTTCAAAAGATACAACAGCCACAAAAGTCTTTCCAGCGTAATATATGAACAATAGATTCTATATTTAACTTAAGACTAATTCATGATAGAAAGTTGTTGTAATTCTAAGGGAATAATTTACCGGTATATATAGATATAGGAATCGGTGGCCTCTCTTCTGAGTGTCGTTGAGATAGATAGCTACGATAGTAATTTACAACCCTGCCCAAGGACATTTGTTCAGGGCCATTTCTCATAACGCATGACATCTGTTCGGGACATCTGTTCGGTGACATGTGACCAGGACATCTGTCCAGGGCTTATGTTGAGCGACATGTGACCAGTATATTTGTCCAGTGACGTTTGACCATGACATCTGTATAAGGACATCTGTCTAGGAAATCTGTTCAATAACATCCGGCCTGGACAGATGTTCACGGACACCTGTCCAGAATATCTGTTCGGTTTCATTTGACCAGTAGAAAAAGAAAAAAAAGAAAAAGAAAAAAAAGAAAAAGCCCTAGGCGACAGCTGTCGTCTAGGGCTTTTTTCAATGACATCTGACCAGGACATTTGTCGACGACATCTATCTAGGACATGCGCCTAGGAAATCCATCTAGGACATCTGCCCAGGGACATTTGTCCAGGACATGTGCCGGAGTAACCTTCCTAGACAGACTGGATAATTTTAACATAACCCGGATCATGTATGATAAGTATTATCTGGTAAGTGCATAGTAAGTACAAAAAGGCTGTCCGCCTATTTGTACTCACCTAGGCAGTGTATATATATATACGGTGTTTACACTTTGAGGGGTTAACCCTTAGAGGGTTAAACCCCCAAAAAGGAGGCCTGGTCGAGGACCGGGCCGCGGGGACGCTAAGCCCCGAAATCATCTCAAGATAACCTCAAGAAGATAGCCAACTTCTGGACGGGTGCGGGGCGCGCCATGACTAACGTTACATCTTGTCAGTAGTTCACCAACAAACTTTAGTTCATAATAAAATATTGAGGCTATACAATGGGATCAAACCCGGGTCGCTGGACTCCCCGGATACATGAACTATACTTTCTTGCGATTAACATTGTAAATATAAACTTCAAAGTTTAAAGGACACTGAGGTGCAGTTCCTGAACCAATTTTAAGACCTATTTTTCCATCACAATCTCGGATGAGGATGAGGTCCATAATAAGATAATTAAGTAGCGAAAATATTTTCAATCTTTTTCTCGAGCGTCTTTCGTCCGCCCTTGTGCTCGTGTTTGTAATTCTATGGCGATCGTGGCAGAGATCCTCACCCCCAGCTATGTCTCCAGCAGGCACCTTCGGCACGTCGTTGAGTATCTAACATTTTATTGGTTCCCAGATACAATGTCCCTGCGGTTTGGTCTGACCAACAGTCAGATCAGTGGTCTCATCAACCTGACTCTCGGAGTCAGGTTGATGAGAGCGGCTGAGAGCGGCTTGATGAGAGCTCGCAGTACTCAGACTGCGAGCGGCTGCTCAGTCATGTATACTGGTAGCGCTCGAAATTATTGACAACACTGAAGTAGACAGCTTAATTATTTCCGACTCCCTTTCCTCACTACTAGCAATAAACAGTTTGCAATTAAGTAATAATGTGCCTGTCTCAGAAGCTACACGTATATATATAAGCATACTTAGCAAGAGGGTAAATATAAAAATGTGGATTCCTTCTCACATTGGCCTGCAGGAACATGATAAAGTTGACGCCCTTACTAAGGCTGCAGTAATTAAAGTCAGTATTGAACGGAATCTTGAGTTATCAAATAGGTCCCCTAAAAGTGTCATTAGACGAGTCATTAGCCCCCATACACATGTTATTAAACACGTGTATGGGGGCAGGTAACAAAGTAAGCAGACCAACAGATGTTGTCACAGCTCGAATAAGACTTTGCTACTAGTATATCTGGCAGTTCGGCTTGTATAGGGATCTAGATGAAGTAAAGTGTAAAGTGTGTGGACAAAGACAGGGGACGCACACTCGAACACTATATCTTGGATTGTACTAAAATTGAACCATTTAGAGATAAATCTAAGCTCTCGCTGCATGATATGGCAACAAATCTTATTACCAAGGATAAAATACTTGAAATCCTTGCACTGTATCCATATTTCGCTTCCAGTAGTAAACGATATATGAGATTAAGAAACAAGTAGTGTATTGTGAAGACTAATAATAAACAGCAGCTCCCAATGACTCTGTAATATATCAATTATTCAAACAATTCTGTGTTAGCGATAAGACCTACCATCAATGTATAATGACTTACTGTAAATATATAGCTCTTGAAATAGAACATTCTCTGTAACTATATAAGATGTGACATTGTAACTATAAGGTGTGAAGGATAGATGAAATTAGACAGATGAAGTATGTAAAACTCTAAGATGAGGTCTGATAAAGACCTTTTGTGTCCGCTGTAATGCTTTTTTTGCGCTACCGCTCACAGGATAAGTATGGGGTGCATAATAAACTAGCCGCCTCGGGCGACAATAACAAACACAAGCAGTGTGATGTATGAATCACACAGTCCGGATGATCGGGTGTACTTTGGAGATATCTATCAAGTTCTCTTATGAATGCCGCGCGTTCCGATAGTTATGCTCCCTTTCACTCAGCCTTACCGTTACACAGTGATATGTACGGAGTGTTTACATATATATATGTATTTTCCTATTTGACATAACCACCTTGTTTTTCTTCCTTCCTTTCAGGAAAGATATTACTCCAATACAGTTTAAGGAAGTGTGTGTAAATATGATCGTGTTGTTAAAAAATTTATTCAATAATTGTGTATAAAATATCCTACCTGCATCAAGGGGATTATCATTGTCCAAAACTGAATGCTGGAGACCAAAGGAATGCGTCCTTCACTAGATGAAGTGCCTACTACAGTCAGATGTAGATAAGATTATGAGCGAAATTAGTAGCGTGTGTTTATATCTGCCTCAGGAGGATATGAAGGATGAGGCTGCTGCTGCCCCCCTCTGGCCGCTCGCGTCTCTTTCACCTCCCAGCCCGTCCTCTCCAGCACCCACAACGTCACTAAACTGATGTACTACATTCCCACAATCTAACTTAGACACATCTAAGCCCGCAGCCTACACGTGCTATACTAACATTTCTCTGCCAAAGTTGTGACCGGTAGATATTCATTCCGAATGTGACGTCGTGTTTACATATACATGACAGACGGATGTTAAACGACAGTACTGTCCGGAAGAATACGTAGCAATGCACTAAACAGCAGTTCTGTCCGAAGATATACGACACAATATGAAGTGACAGAGATAATAAGAGCTGATAAAGAGATAATGTGTAAGGCATCAAAGATCTATAGTTGCATCAGTTCAATCACAGACGCTCACCAACATGGGTCCTCTGTGACTTACAGTGGTGTCTTATATTTTTCTGGTTCCAACATTTTTGTTTTAATCAATAGTGAGAAATATATTAATGAATTTTTTTTTCAATTCCTGTTAAAATATTTCGGGATTAATTTACATCAACAAGAGTGAAGAAATAATTAAAAGTGAATATTTTACTGACATTTGATTACCAACGACGATGACCACTGAAAAAGAACATTCAAGATGGCTTGACAAACAAATGTAATTAACAAATTTAAACCAAACGCCAATTAAACAATTCACAATCCGAACGATAATGGAAAACCATGAACTAATCGACGCTGCGCTAAACAATCTTAATTCATCTTTCCGACTATCTACAATATACTGTAACGTGTCCTGCTGTCAGTACAGCACCAACAATGTGATTTGTTTCGGAGACTTTAATTATACAGACAAACACAACCTAACACACCTGGCGAGTTGGGATCTGGGAGTGAGATGGACGTACGCCATCCTGGTGATGCTGGTGGCCCTCTTGGGCAACCTCTCCGTCATCATCATCCTGCTCAAGAACCGTCTGCTGCTTCGCACCTCCGTCAACCACTTCATCCTCAACATGTCGGTGGCCGACCTCATCATGGCGGTCACCGGGCCCATACCTTTCACCATCAGAGACATCAGCAGCTTCTGGCCCCTGGGTGAAGTCTGGTGTCACCTAGAAGGTTACATACAGAGTAAGTCCATCGTGGGTCTCTAAAGAAATACTTAGCACCTAGCACTTATTCTTAGCACTTAGCATTCTTCTGGGAGAGCTGTTCCCGCCACAATGTTTTCTGCTGGGTCAGTGCAAAACCGATGGTGGTTGATAATGGAACAAAGCCAGCTCAGTGAGGCCAGAAACCTCGTGTAGTGGGATATCTTGTGATGTTGATAATGTGATCACTTGTATGTGTTGATGGGTGAGTGGGTCTGGCTTCCTCACACCCCAAGCCTCGCGCAGTGGTTGTACTTGTTGTAGGAGTTGTAGTAGTAGTAGTAGTAGTAGTAGTAGTAGTAGTAGTAATAACAGTAAAAGTAGAAGTAGAGCAGTAGTAGAAATAATAATCGATGTATTAAGGCCTACAGTAACATATTAACGGCTTGACAATGAATCAAATTAAAATTAGTATTAGTATTTAGCAGCAAACTAACACAATAAGGGTTTTATCATAGTCCAGAGATATTGTCTCTGGACCACACCTCACAATGTATGGCTCACTTTCACACCTCACAATGTATGGCTCACTTTCACACCTCAGAATACGTGGCTCACTTTCCCTTTTAGCAGAGAGATAGAGAGAGAAAGAGAGACCTGACGCTCAATATATCATCCTTGAAGTGGGTCTGGCGCTCAGTTTCTTAACCTTGAGAGTAAACTTTTTACAGGGTGAAAGTAATTGTTATTTTATCACAAACTGCTGTCAACATTAGTTACAGATGGGAATACCCGCGCCGGAAATTGGTAATCAAAGCCACTCAACAGCGAATAACCGACAATCTCCGATATTTGTATTTGAATTTTTAAAGAGTAACTACGAAATTCTTGGGAGAAAAATAACCTTAAGGACTTTTTTCGTAGCAAGATAGACTACTTTGATATTCCTTCTACTACTACTTCCTCCTCTATTACTACAAGAGTAACTACTGCTACTACCTTATCTACCTTCATTACTACCGGCAAGTACTACTTTCACCTTTAACTCCCTCTATGTAGGGGTGGGCACTTGAGATACGGAGTAACATGCAAAAGAAGTAAATCCCTAACATGCAAAACTTGTAAATACAATAACAAAATAATATAGGGAAAAAACCCAATGTTATCACGAGGAATACATCTACTCAATATGTTATCATATACCACACAGGGAGCTGATACAGTTGCTCTACTCCAACTCCACAATGCACAAGTCCAATCAAAGGTAGATAATAGATGCTGTGTTTGCTCTGTATTAGCAACCTTGACCCCAAACCAGCATAGAAGCAAACAATATATATATATATATATATATATATATATATATATATATATATATATATATATATATATATATATATATATATATATTATTCCGCGAGAAGGCATACCACCCGCAAACCTTTCTTGATACTATATACTTGAAAAGCCTTGAGACCCAAATAGATGATAAGAAGACATAAGGCACAGGATTGATCAGAGGAGAAACAAGGTCACAAAGACTGGGCTGGTCCAAGATAAAGTTATACAGGATTGATATAGTCATTTATTATGCACCCCCTATACCCATTCCGTGGGCGGTGGTGGTTCCCATACCCACCCCGTGGGCAGGGGTGAAAAGGGTTACAGAGGCACATAATGGGGCTCGGGAACTTAACCCATAGTTCATTTAGCTTAGCAAGTAACAATCTTGTGAAACTAGTTACACACGAGACATGAAATTCCTTCCGTAATTTCGTATTAACCTATATATCTTCAGATGGATGGATATTACTTTAGTCAGTCGTGGTAATAATAGATAATAAGATATCACAACAATAATAGATAATAAGATATCACAACAGTCTAATAGGAGGTACAAGTGTTGTGTTAGTTGACTCTTCAGAGGGTCAAAGGGCTTTTCAGACGACTTTTCTGAAGAGTCAACTAACACAACACTTGTACCTCCTATTAGACTGTTTTACAGGAACTTCTTTTCAACGGCTCATAAAACGGAGGAAAGTGTCCTGAAAGATATTATTAATAGGAACGTTATCACCACAGACACAAATCAGAAGATACAATTTACTATAAAAACAAGAAAACGGCCAACCTACTCATGAACTCCCCAGACACCAAACAGAACTCCTTGAAAGAAACCAACGTTGTCTATGCCTTCACATGCCCACTTGGGGACTGTCAGCCCCAAAGATCTCTGTACATAGGCAAAACAACAACGTCTCTTTCTAGGCGATTAACAATGTAAAAACAACAGGGCTCCATCAAGGAGCATATAATTTCCTCACACAACCAGACCCTCACCAGAGAAATCGTAACAAGCAACACAGAAATTATCGACAGATACAACGATAACGGGAGGGCTCGACATCAGTGAGGCTCGACACATCAAAAAGTCAAAACTAGCAATCAACAGCCAATTAACACATAATTACATTCTTTCCACTTCAAGACCCCAAACCAGCATAGAAGCAAGCTGATAAAATGTATATATATATATGACAGTGTTTTTAGACCAAGGAGGAAGACCAGTGTCAGACTTCCTCCGTAGTCTGACACTGTCACATTTTTCTTGTGTTAACTTTCGTGATTTACACACACACACACACACACACATTAATTATATATATATATATATATATATATATATATATATATATATATATATATATATATATATATATATATATATATATATATATATATATATATACATTGCAAAACTTTGCAGCATTAAGCTTTGTAGAAAACTTGACATTAAAATATATTAAAACTTAATGAGGTCACGTTTGATGCCAGTTTAATGTCTTTATGATGTGGAAGTGACATGAGCAGTGACATTATTAAACTGGACGGTGGTCCCTCTCCCTCCTAACGGGCACTTCATGCCCGTGCCACCTCTTGGGTGACTTAATCTCCATCCATCACTCACTCCCTCTCCCTTCGACAGTGCTGGTGTTGTTCGTGAGCCTGACGTCTCTAGCGACCATCAGCGTGGACAGGATGATCGGCGTGGTGCGTCCCTTCCACCAGCACCTCAAAAAGAGGCACTCATTGACCATTATAATTGTTATCTGGATCGTGTCAGCCCTCATTGCTGTTCCCTGGGCCGTCTACAGGGTCTACACTGTAGGTATACAGCGCTGCGTGTGTATCTGCTGTCCTATCGGTGCTTCAGCTCCTGGTCCCCCCACCTCTCAGTTCGTCGGTAGCCTTTTCCAATGGTTAAACCATGCCTACCCTGAAATCATTTCAGCGCTAACTTTACTTAGTCTGCTCATTTCAATTACTTGCTCATCTCATTCTGAAGAAGTGTTTTCTGATATCCCTATGGCTCATATAAGTTCTAGTTTCCACCCATCCTATCTTGTCCTATCTATATTCCTGCTAAATATTTCGTGTCCCATTTTATTGATGTCTGAGAATCCTTAATGTCGTGATCATGTCTCCTCTTGCCCTTTAGTTTCAAGCGTTGTTGACTAGTTCCCTCCGTCTTCCCACGTGGTTCAGCCCTCTGATCTACGTTTTATACCAGACACTGGACTATTTCCTTTTATCTCCATGTCTTTAAGAGGGTGGGGGGGGGGGGGGAGGAAACACCACTGGAGGTGTATAGTCTAGTTTTGGTCTAACACAGAACACGTCCTGTGAGCTGCCTTGTCCAGGTGCCTGAGGCTTCACCAACACTCGTCAGTGTGAGTACACCTCGCTGATAACACCCTCTGTGATAACACTCTTTTGTTCTTGTGTAGTGCTATTCTATATTTGTGTATGCCTACAAAGTATAGAAAATAGACAGTATTCCCCTTAAACTTTGTTGTGACCTTTGCCTCAGCTTAGAGAAGACGTCTTGAAGGTTGCTTGAAGGCTGCTGACTCCTTATCTAGAGCTGACACATTGTTTCCTAAGTCAGCAGCTTACAGACACCTTCAAGACATCTTCCTTAAGTTGTTTGAGGTAAAAAGCAAAGTTTGAAGGGAATAATACCCATTTTATATACTTTATATACATTTATATATATTTATATACATTTTTCATCAGAAAATAACTTACTACTCAGGGACAAAATAACATTATTACAGTGTAATAGCCAGATGTATTCTTCTAGTGATAGAATTGAGGGTCATGTTTACTCCGAGATGAGGAAAGCGAAGTACTGTTCTGTGCACGTGGAGGCTAAGCCTGAGGGAGACGAGGTGCTTCTCTGTGCTTCACCTTTCCAATTTCGTATGGAAATCGTGAACAGATAATAATATGAACCAATTTATCATTTAGTTAAGTTTCCGGAATAAGTTGCCAAGAATATTTGTCTTAAGTTGCCAAGAGTATTTGTCATTAGTAATTAGCCATACTAAGCGACACGTGGCAGGGGAGTACATGAGATCTTAAACGACTGTACAGGTGCACATCTGGAAGGACCTGACGGAGACCATCTGTGGCGAGAAAGATAAGATCAACATCTGGTGGATTGTGGGAGTGATCGTCCTCACCTGGCTTCCTCTCGGTATTATGGTCGTCTGCTACTCCACCATCCTCATCTACTTCCGCCACAAGAACTTCCGGATTTCATCCCAGAATGGTGAGTGACAAGCCAGTTCTCATGATTTGCCACTCCGTAAAAAAATCCAACCTCCTAGCCTAACACAAACATACGAACCCAAGCAACCCACCTATCGAATCCGTTTTCAGAGCACCCGGTGATCACCCACGTCAAGAAGCGGGTAGTAAAGATGATGTTCGTGTTGGTGGTGAGCTTCGCCTGCTGCTGGCTGCCGATGCAGATCCTTAAGATCTCAACCAAGTCTTTCCTGGATCCAAACGGCCAGTATAAGGACGAGGCTACGGAAAAGGTGAGTTTTACTATCACTTGTTTTTTTAGTCCATACGAGGCAGCTAATCCTATTGGTCAATACGAGGCACGTTCCTACTAGCTCATACGAGGTATTCCTGTAGGTCCATTGTCAATACGAGACAGCTCGTACTGGCTCATACGAGGCAGTTCCTATAGGTCCATACGAGGCAGATCCTATTGGTCCATACGAGGCAGCTGCTATTGGTCCTTGGAAGATAACTTCAGTTTGTAACTGTATTACCCTATTTGGGGTCATGAATTGTTGTGCTTTGTTCCTTGTCTGTCCTGTCCGTAATTGTCTTCCTGTCACTGACCCTTACTGTCTTTGTCTCTGACCTGTCCCATACTGACTACCTGTCTCTGTTCTGTCCACTACTAACTACTGACAGAAGGTTATATATAATATTGTGCCGGCAGTCATACAAGATCCTGCTGACTGTAGCTCAGTACATGGTCTACATCAACCCCGCTCTCAACCCCATCGTCTACGCCCTCATGCACCAGACCTTCAGGAGGGCCTTCAGGGTCACCTTCCCCTGCTTCTATAACCGCAAGGTGAGCAACTGTCACAGCCATTTGTGTACTTTTACCTGATTCATCGACCTCAGGTAACTCAGCTCGCCCTCCCGAGCTAAGTCACCAAGCTATTGTAACGTCACTAAGTTATTGTACTAAATTGTCATTGACGTCATTGGTGCCAGCATGAAAGACCTACCTTTAAGGTCGTTAATGTCATTAACACTGATAGGATGAAAGGCTTACCTGTGAGGTCGTTAGTGAGATATAATAATAATAATAATAATAATAATAATAATAATAATAATAATAATAATAATAAAATAATAATAATATCAAAAATAATTATCAAATACAAAATATATATACAGTTAATACAAAGTATACAGAGACACGCTTCACTGTAATCACTGTGTTTATATTTTTACAAGACTACTACTACACATTCATTCAAACAATATATTTCGGCCAATAAAACTTCTGTCCCTACAATAATCTGTTTATATAGTAACATTACACAAACCTCACAACGCCTATGAGGAACCTCCACATATCGCATACAGCACATATAGATCTAAACGGAACAGATAACCAATGACTTATGTATTTTACAGTCGTCTCTCGTGCTGACACCTGGCGATGGGATGCGACGCTACATGTGGTCGTACAGGTCTGGCACCACCTCCTATGCTGGCGGAAACGACACTAGCAGTGTTATAAGGTATATGGCTGCTATAGCGTTTTCCTTAACGAGAAAGAGTATGGGAAAGTTTAGCCATGCCCTGGGTACGTGTATGTTTAACTAAGTCTCGATTACGTGTAAGTTTAGTAATGCCTTAGGTACGTGTAAGTTTAGTAATGCCTTAGGTACGTATAAGTTTAGTAATGCCTTAGGTACGTATAAGTTTAGTAATGCCTTAGGTACGTATAAGTTTAGTAATGCCTTAGGTACGTATAAGTTTAGTAATGCCTTAGGTACGTGTAAGTTTAGTAATGCCTTAGGTACGTGTAAGTTTAGTAATGCCTTTGGTACGTGTATAGCTACCTCTGATGGAATCACAACACGGTAACTACTACCGACGTTGTTGACCAGACGGTCAATATACTTCAGCCACGTTATTGTGACTCATCGCCTGCACTTACTGACGTTCTTCAAAAATAAATAATCGCCAAGAGAACCGTAAGCACATGACTGTAAAGCTGCAATGAAGTTTAATATTCTTATTTTTTGTTTATTTCACAGACTTAAGATAACTTTATACAAACAATACTTCAATTACTGATGTTGAATGACATTTCCAAGATCAAATAACTTTTAATGTAGGAACTGAATGTAAACATTCAGGTTTCAAGTCACTTCGCAAAAAAAAAACCATTTATACATTACTCAATTGTCATCGGAAACTGCATGGTTAATATGGCCCGTGTACTGCTAATAATCAACTGTACACACACACACATATTTCTAAGAATTTATCATTGTACCCCTTGGGTGCAAGGATCAAACATGGCCGACTTCCAAACTCTACAACGCCTAGCTGATATCCTAGCCTCGGCTACCTCCTCTGCTATTTAATAAACTGCACCATTACCTGCTAAGCACAAGGTACTTACTGTATGTATACAGTGGACACGCAGCCCAATCAGATAGTCTGAGAGCTTTAACAGGTCCAAGAACGCGATCATTCTCTGCCCTCTGACCCTCTCACACTGGGCGCTGAGGCTTTAGTCTTCCCGACAACTGTTCCAATGTTATTCAAATTTATACTTTTCACTCCTGCGGCCATATATTAGTTTATTGGCTCCTGTACTGTATTTCAACATTTTACATTGATCTCCGGTTAAAACGTTGGATCACCGAATGTACATGAATATGTTTACCTTATACTCTTGACACTGTTTTTCCGAAACAAAATTTCAGTAACTTCACAGTGTTAATGCAGCCTTTACGCATGCGCACACCAGGTACTGCCGTGGCGGCACTTTCAAATGTGATCATAAACATTTGTTCATACTTCTCCGTCCAACAAACATTGGTTTAGTTCTTTCACGAATATGCCACTCCAAGTATTTGCCATAGGAGTTAGTTTAGTTAATTTATTATGCACCCCATACCCATCCTATTGGCGGTAGTGGAAAAGGTTACCGAGGCACATAATGGACTCAGTGACAACCGCAAAAATTCATTTAGCTAAGCAAGTTGCAGTTTTGATGAGCTAGTTACAAATTTCAATGCACATCGTCATATAATTAATGGGCTCGAGACCGACCACAGGTACAGTTTCTAAATTAAACCACCAAATTTCTTGCAGTTTCCCGTGGGTAGCGGTGGATAGATTGCAATCACCCAGTTACTACCTACAGTTAGCAAACTGGGAATATTTGGCTAAAATTTCTGGTAGCAGATAAGTTTGAATTAAATATTTACACATTAAACATTTATTATAGAATTGTCTCTTAATTCACGTATATCCTCGCACATCACATAGTGATGTGCGAGGGTGTGCGAATAATTCGCACACGAAATAATTTTTTATTTCGTGGGTGAGCGAATAATTTCGCGGAGGGTGTGCGAATAATTTCGTTGGCACAGTTTACATTTGGTCTGATCTACATCAGCGAGAAAAAAAAATATCTTTGCAGATCCTTCCCTTACAAAGGTGGCGTAGGGTAGGTAAGTTAGTACAGGGTGGGGAAGATGGTGGAAAGCAGAAATGTGGTGAAGTGTATGAACAGATTTGAATCGTAGGGAAATTGGCGAAGGTTAGGGAAGGTGATGATGGGCAGGGGAGGGCGGTGAATTTTGTTGATTACGAGGATCAACGTCCCCGCTGCCTGTCATTCCTGGTTGGTGTGGCTGCTCGCAACCTGACGCACGAATCACAGCCTGGTTGATCAGATATCCTTTGGAGGTGCTTATAGAATTCTTTCTTGAACACTGTGAGAGACCGGCCAGTTATGCCCCCTATGTATAGCAGGAGCGTGTTGAAAAATCTTGAGTTTTTTTTATGTTGATACAATTCTCTCTCAGCGTACCTATTGCACCTCTCTTTTTCAATGGGACTAATTTGCACACTTTACCATGCCTTTTAGTCTCATGTGATGTTATTTTCGTATGCAGATTTGGAACCAGTCCCTCTAATATTTTCCCAGGTAGTGAAGGAGAGGGAAGATGGCGAAGGAGCGAGGTGTAGCAGTGTGTAGTTGTAATGGTTACAGTGATGAAGATAGTGTAGGGAAGATGGTTACAGTGATAAAGATAGTATAGGGCAGATGGTTACAGTGATGAAGATAGTGTAGAAAGATGGTTACAGTGATGTAGGTAGTGAGTTGTGAAGATGTGGCAATCGTCATCCGAGTAATGTCTGGTACTCCCTCCAGTATTTTATAATATAATTCATCTTGTGATATGATATTAGATATTAAGCATTTAAGACAGATTTGTATTAATAGAAATAAAAAGCCATTTAAATAGTCTAATAAATTATTTGGAATATTGAAATAACAACACAAATATGTTTGACTGAAAAAATACTGCTATTCTGATATTCAAATTAATGTTCAATATTTTGACTACAGACAGAGGGCAGGGACCGAGGGGAGACCTACACCCACCGCTCTGCTGTCGACATCAACACTGGCAGCCGCTATCGCCTTGGATTCAACCGTGAAGAAGTCAGATACAGAAAGAAGTCAGTCGCCGATAAGATGTAAACGCAGTTCACATCACAAATACAAATTTTCAAGAACTGGACGTTCTTCTGTAGATGATGAGCGCTCCTTGCATGGCAGCTACAAGAAAATAAGGAACCGCTCTGCTAATTCTGAACCCTCGCCAGATGTAAATCTCCAAGAAGTATACAGCGAGACAAGTTTCTCTGTTAATGTAGAGTGTGCATATGCCAACAAGCATGACAATCAGCTCTCTTTAACCTACGTCAACGAGGGATATGTCAGTGATCTACAGCACCTGAGAATGTCATCACTAAGTAATGGCACTCTTGGCCACCTCATTACCCAAGTCATTGAGGAGGAAACGTCCAGTGATGTTGAAAGAGAACGAGTTCTATAATAGTGAAAGAGTTGGACAGGAAAACATTACCTAAAACAGAGAACCTCGTATCTAAAATGAAATTCAGAATGAAAATTTCTCAATGTTAAAAAAAAACTAACCCCGAAAAGACTACTATAGGAATAAACGATAAATGAGGCTACTGTAGTGATAAACGATACATAAAGCTACTATAGTGATAAACCATACATGTGGCTATTATAGTGATAAACGATGCATGAGGCTGCTATAGTGATGAACGATACATAAGGTTGCTATACTGTAGTGATGAACGGTTGTATGTCACAAGATAACCATTAAGTATTTATTTTTTATCGTAAAATCTGAACAAGAATAAAGGAAATGTATATTTGCTTTATTTGGGGTTATCTGTTCCCCAAATGTGATTTTTTAAAAGTAATTCTCAAAATGTGGGGAATTTGTGTTATCATGTGAATTCAGGTCAGAACACAAGAAATAAAACATGAATAAACATAAATAAACTCGGAAATAAGCTATCTTGTAACAAAATAGGCCTAAATAAGGTGACATCCAAAGAAGTTATCGATTTTAGCGCCTATAAAGTGCAGCGACATATGTCTCACATAATGTTCCCAGACCATGTTTGCTGGCACATCAGTCCCTGGCGCTCGCAAAATAAGTCATTTCATTTCTCATCTCAAATTGTTACGCAACAAATTTTTACACACACACAACACTAGATGTTATGAATGATACTGTGCATGTTTTGAACTAGATTTTGTGAGAAAAAGTCATAATATATTTAATATTTATGTATTAAATGTTCCAGGAAGTTTCACTAACCGTCATTCATCGTTGTTTACACTACATATGTATACTGGTCATTATTCATTGAGTAACACTAGATAGGTTTTCTTGTCTACTTTCACTTTAGTCATAAAATATTTATTCTAAATATCATGATAAATATTCACATTTAAAAACTTTATTTGTAAATGGTTGTACATATGTGAGTTATTGAGTACGTTATTTACGCAAGTGATTTAATTACAACGTTAAATTAAATTACTACTTACACAGTATTTTGTATATATTTACACAGTATTTTGTATAATGCCAATTTTAAGCAGATATCAGTTTAGTGCGACCTATCTTTAAAAGATCAGACATATAAAAAAAATTTGCCTATCCTATAGGTGGGTAATTATACAGTATAGTGTAACTCAAGACCTAGTTATTGATATACCTTATATATATATATACATCTCGTGACAGGTGTAATATTCAACTGATAACTGTTCATTCACTAACACTAGGATTTGTATTTCTTTTACTTTATATATTTGCATAGTTAAAGTACACTAAATACATTAAGAGATATACCTAGCTTTTCTGTGCATATAAACTGAGTTTACGTTAGTCCTGAACTTTGTTCTTGGCTAGAGTTTACTTGGTAGCTGGTCAGTAAGATATCGTGGTCTGCTTAATACTCCTCCCGTTGTTGATAGGCCTCAAGCCCAACACAACTAATGTAAATGTTGATTTTTCTGTCATTGAAGTGAGAAAGTTTGTTGATATGGAGAGGAGGGTGTGTGAACAGTGAGGTGGATGTTTGGGGGTGGGGGAGATGAGGGGGTTGAGCAGTGTGAGGTGGATGTTTGGGAAAGGAGCGAGGGTTTGAGCAGTATGAGGTGCGCCGGAAAGGTCAGTCAAGGTGTAAAGCTGGCGTAAGATTACTCGCAATGCCAGGCACGCAACTCGCGTCACCGCTGAAACTCTGGAGCCTCGGATTTCATTTTCCTCTCTAATATCATTTCCGATTAGTAATAGAAGCAGATAAGAAACTAGAAATTTCACAAAAGTTAAATTTGCTATATGGAGAAAGCCTTTTACAGCCTAAGTTAGAGTATTGTGGGCGGGGCGCGTGGTTGTGAGAGGCGGACTGTAATGCCGTGGGCTGCATGTACCTTGCAGCTCCGCTCTCACGTTGGATATTATCATACCTTTACTAAATTCGACTCAGTTTTGTTGATAAACGTTTTAAGCGATCAGATAAATCGCAGAAATCTGCAATTATCTGGTATTTAGTCACTGAGTGATCGCCTGACGAGCAAGGGCAGGTGATTGATATTGTTGGTGAAGGTGAAGCATGAAAGATGGCAGGGAGAGTGCCTTCAGTGTGTACTAGAGGCAGCAGGAGGGCCACCAGTGCGCTGCTTGGCACTCGCTTGTCACACGAAGCGCGGGAAAGAAATCAATAGACGAAGGAGAGAGAGAGAGAGTGGCGGAACATGGCGCGGCCCGCTGCTGTTGTGTGGTGAGCCAGGCACCAGTATACCTACAGCTCACCGGGCCGTGCCACGCCAGCCTCCACACACAGGTGACCCATTAATCCTCAGTGCAGTGCCACAGTGCCTAAGCGTGCCTATGATAGAGTGAGAGCCTGTGACCAGTGCCCCGCCAGAATCATGATAGAGTGTATCCCAGTGTGACACAGAAGCAGCCTCGCCCACGTCTGTACGCTGGTGGACATGTCGAGCACCACAGTAAGTACGCCACTGCTGCTTCCGTCTCTCCAGGCACTGACTCCTCTTCCTTGAGGAGTCCTCCTCTTCCTCGGCTCCTTCCTTCCTTCCTTCCAGTCGTGACACGCCCCTACACCCATTAAGAGTGGAAAATATCACAATACCCAATTTGTCCGTTAATTTCACCTAGGTTATTGGTGTCGTGACCTGCAATGTTTGCGTTTCAAGTCTATGAATAAGGATGATCCGACAGCTCCAGGCGAGGCTACTCACCTCACTCCATGTGAATTGCTCTCAATAGATATGCGGCTAAGTGGTTTAAAGACGAATTTTTTATGGTGGAGGAAGGATTGTTAGGATACTTGGCCTACTATGCAAGTGGCGATTTGTCTAATAAGCCAAGTTTTCCTGAATTTATATATTTTTCTAGTTTTTTCTGATGAAATAATAAAGCTATCCATTTCCTTATGTATGATTGAATAATTTTTAATTTGAGTTAAAACTAACGTAGATATATGGCCGAACCTAACCAACCTAACCTAACCTAACCTGTCTTAACCTAACCTAAACTAATATAACTAAGGTAATAATTTATGTTCCTAATATAATATCATAATAATAATTGAAATAAACCAATGGGAAATTTGTTGTGGGAAATAAAGAAAATTACTCGGCCTATTAGACAAATCGGGCCTTCCTTAGTAGGCCGAGAAGTGTGTTCTGGCTACTAGGTACGATATATATATATATATATATATATATATATATATATATATATATATATATATATATATATATATATATATATATATATATATATATATATATATATATATATATATATATATATATGTGTGTGTGTGTGTGTGTGTGTGTGTGTGTGTGTGTGTGTCATTGAATATGACCTCATATTCAGTATTTACTATCTTCTGGTTTAGGGCTTCTATCTCTCTATTTTCCTAGCATCAGGGCTTAGCTGAAAGAGGAGTTCTCCAAAACTCATTTTCGTTATTTCAAGGTGAAGAAAAAAGTGAATTACTATAGAATGTATTACACTTATTTATACAATTTGCACAACATTTCGAACCTCCATGGTTCATTCTCAAGTGAAATGAAATTACAGGACTCGTTGATTTATACCCGTATAACTGAACAGTGTCTTTAGCACCAGGAAGGAAGGGACTTTGTAACACACCACCAGCATGGGTTCAAGGATAGTTAATTTGCCTCACAGGTTTAGTATAATTGTATGATAAGGTGACAAAGATTAAACAAGAAAGAGAAGGGTGGGTAGGTTGCATATTTTTGGACTGCCGGAAAGTCTTTGACACCGTACCAGAGGCTGGTGCACAGTGCTCTGGTGCACAGTACCAGAGGTTGGTGCACAGTACTAGAGGCTGGTGCATAAGTTGGAGAAGCAGACAGGAGTAACAGGTAAGGTGAGCCAATGGATAAGGAAGTACCTAAGCAACAAAAAACAGTTACTGTCAACATCACAAGCGAACTACTTGATACACAGTATAAAAAAATAAAATGTGGCAATAGGAGGGAACTGACCAGTCAGAAAAAAAAACAACGTCTTCACCCAGAATGGGCGGACACTGAAAGAACACATCACGAAATTCCATTAGGGGCCAGTGGAAAGACTGAACTCGAGAACACGTCTGCACAAGGAACAAAAGTTAGGCAAACACACTACATAAAAGGTAGTGTGTAGTGAGGAAGTACGGACCAAATTCATACCCTCCTTAACACTTCAAACGAAAGAATCCAAAGCCACACATACAGTGCTTAGAAACAAAAAGCAAGAACAAGAAAACATTGAAAATATTTAAAAACAAAAATATAGGAGAAAGCTACAAAAATTCTAAAAAAACAGGAATGATTATGTAAGAATAAGAAGAGAAACATATAAATTACTTAGCACCCAAGACAAAAAATCCAACCTAAACTTCTGCATATAACATAAGAAGAAAAAATAGATCAATGGAAGGTCAGTCTTAAGAAAAGAGAGGATAATTACACGGCAAATAACAAGAAGTATGTGAAGAACTATGTGAGATATTCTGAGAAACATTTATATTTGAGCCAGAGCCCCGCCTCCCTTTTCCCCTGTGGCTCTCCAGGAGTAGAATTTGCTCAATGAATGACTGAATAAAATAGAGGTGAGGCGACAGTTGAAAGAACTAGATAAGGGACTGAATCTCACCAGGTGAACTGAAAGGCAGCCGGGGTTATTGAGCCGACCCCTGGCAACACTTCGCCGCTTTACTGGAAACGAGGGAATTGCCAGAGTTGTGAAGAATAGCACATTGATCCACAGCACCACCACACACCCACAGCACCACCATCACACACCCACAGCACCACCATACCCACCCACATCACCACACACATAAACACACACTCACCTCCAGTATTCACCACTACCAATCCTTCAGTTAGACCAGGAAGATGAAGGTCTCTCTCTCTCTCTTCACACTCGGGCAGGAGGAAGCTCCAGGGCGTAAGGATCCGTGAGCAGAGTTCTATCTCCCTTATTGGAGCTATTATCTCGGTTGCCTGCACCTTCTGCCTGACTGACGCCGGTGTTGTCCCCCGCCACGCCTTCACCACCCATTTTGTCCTTCCTTACACAGCTCTTTTTGTATCAACTATAATCTTTTCTTTCCTCTTTAACCGTTCTCTTTATTCAACTTCCTATTATACAATCTTCCTCTTCCACGTTCCGCTCCTTTTACTGAATATTCTTCATCTTAAACCTTTCATCTCCTTTTTTACCCCCCCGTTTACTCTCACCTTTGCTTATTCCTCCTCTTACTTTTCTCTTTCCATTCTTCTACGTTCCCTATCCCCCTGACCTCGGCCTGCTGCCTCTCACCTGCCTTGGGGATAAAAGCAGTTAGCCACATAAAGGAGCTCCTGTTGTTAGGGTTGGCGGCCCTCCGTAACCCAGCTCAGGTGTGTCCACCGTGGATGTGATAGGTGGGTGGTGGTGGTGTGGGGGGTGGTGGTATGGGGGGTGTGGTGTGGTGTGGGGGGTAGTGATGTGGGGTGGGGTGGGTTGTGTGCTGGGTGGTGTGGGGGTGACTGGTGTGGTGGGTGGTGGTGTGGTATGGTGTGGTGTTGTGTGGTGTGGTATGGAGGGGTAGTGTGGTGTGGTTTGATCTAGTTGGTACTGACATGTGGGTTAATGTGTGTGGTAAATTTAGTGGGTCCTGGTGTGGTTTAGTGACTGATGGTGTGGTGATTTACTGGCTGATTTTATGGTGGTTTAAAAGTTGACTGTGTGGTAGTTTAGAGGCAATGGTATGGTGTTTTCGTGGCAGATCATGTGGCTAATTAGAGGCTAATGGTGTTGTCGTTTAGAAGCCGACGGTGTTGTGATTTAGTTGCACTTGGTATGGGATTGAAGCACCTGAGTGATGGCTTGGTTAAACAGCTAAAAGGATAGTACAGTTAGTGATGGCTTGGTTAAAGAGCTAACAGGATAATACAGTTAGATGAATTGGTGCAAATGCGCATTTTGTGGCTGTGACTTGGCTTAATAAAAATAGTTAAATGAATCATATTGTGCCAATATTTGGATGGTGATATCCATGTTTACATTCTGCGTCCGGCCTCCGGGGGACGCCCCGCTATGGTAATGGAACCGGTGTTATAGATAATTAATGGGACGGCCGGTTTGATGGGTAATGGGATGGCCGGCTTGATGATTCATAAGGTGGCTGGTTTGATGAGTTATGATCAGGCCAGTTTTATCGTTTATTGCAATGTACATTTTGTGATTTATGGGGTAGTGTATTTTATGATTTATGGGGCGGTGTATTTTTATGATTTATGGGGCGGTGTATTTGTATGATTTACAGGTATATGGTGGTGTTTTTTTTTATTTATGGGGCGGTGTATTTTATGATTTATGGGGCGGTGTATTTTATGATTTATGGGGCGGTGTATTTTTATGATTTATGGGGTGGTGTGTTTTATGATTTATGGGGTGGTGTATTTAATGATTTATGGGGTAGTGTATTTTATGATTTAGGAGTATGAGGGAGGGAAGTTAATCAGGAAGTAATTTGGTGCAGGAGTGATCGAGAGTTATGCTAATTTATTTGAATTTTAAAAATTATAGATATATTAATTAAATGACAAAAACCTAACAATGACAAGAACAGTGACAATTATGACAATAACAATGACAGTAGCGTAGTCCATCGTCCTGTTTAGCTAGCATTCATAGCAACTGTGTGGACCAGCGTACATATATTGATGTAAGGGACAATTAAGATGTAGATTTTTGTACTACTGAATTTGGACAAACCGGAAAAGGTTCTGTATTTATGTTGCTATTAAAACCTAACCTAACCTAACATAACTTAACCTAACCTAACCTAACCTAACCTAACCTATCCTAACCTACCTTAACCTAACTTAACCTAACTTAACCTAACCTAGCCTAACCTAACCTAACCTAACCTAACCTAACCTAACCTAACTTAGCCTAACCTAACCTAACCTAGCCTAACCTCACCTCACCTCACCTAATCTAACTTAACCATCTTAGTTCTAATACACGCTATCTGCAGCCTAATATAATTCATATATGTGCTATACTAGGCCTAGGAAATTGAAGTTTTTGATCTTATCTTATTTTTTCCGGACTCTGTAAGTGAATAGTACCAAATTCTACTATCTAATTGTCCATTACGTCAATATATGAACAATGGTCCAAATAGTTACTATAAGTACTATTAACCGGAGTAGGGGTTTCAATAACAATAACACTGATGCACATAGAAATCACATTAACGTGATTTATATCGTGGATATTTTTCATCAATAACAATGACAACAATGACGATAACAATGACAGTAACAATGTGACAATGACCATAACATGAACATAGCAATGACAGCTCTGACATTAGTAATACGACATTGACAATAACAATGATAACAGTAAGTATAATGATGATGACCATTATCATACATCATGCTGGTGTTGACTTACACCATTCATC